TTATTACTTAATATCACATGTCCTTACAGCTGCTAGATTAGCATGGGCACAAGTATGGAAAGAGGGAGACCCACCAAAAGACGAATTGTTTATCAAAAAAATACTAGAGTGTGCAGAAATTGATAGACTTACAAAGAGACTAAAAGGGCAAGAAAAATCAACCTACTATGAAAGCTGGAACATGTTCTATGAATGGTGGAAAACAAAAACTTTGTAATAAATAGAAAATAAGTAACCAAAACGAATAATGAGGAGAAGACACTGCTGTCAGAAATGTGTTATTATACAAAAGGCTTGTAGGCTAAGCTTTACAGTATGTATTGTTTGTAGATAGAGATTTAGGCATATGTGTGTGTATATATGTCTATGTATGTGTATGGATATGTGTATATATATTTAAAAAATGAAAAAAAAAAAGGATTAATCAGGAGATTCAGACTAGCCTACCTCCATCACCCAGAAAGACTGTCCAACGGGGAATTGACACCCGTGAACTAGAAGAGGGATTATTGAAAGTAACTGTTGCTACACAGACTGAGCGAGAGTGGGTGGGAAAAGAAGAAAAGGGGTGGTCCATGGTAGAGGTGGGAATGGGGGAAATAAAAAGGGAAGAAGACCCAATACCAGGGGGTTGGGAACTCATCTGGGTAGAGGATCTCTGGACAGGCAAGAGGGAGAAAGTGAGTACCCCGAGAGGAGGCAGATTACCACCGGAGACAAGGATTACCCCAAATACCATCATATTGGGGTGAGTTGGAGGCTCGTGAGTGGGGGCAATGCCTTAGGGAGGAGAAGGAGACTGTATCCCAGGAAAGACAAGAGCGTCTGGCATGGCGTTTGGAGGAAGCCCGGAGGAAGCAATACCTCCAGGACCCCGGCACCCCTGTGTGTGAGAGAGAGAGGATCCCTCTGGGGTGAGACCCGAGATGAGGAGACCCTCCAGTAATTAGGAACTGAAGAAAAATATCTCCTTGATGAAGATGTGGACCCCTTTTTACAGGGATCTTGGGAGAACAAATCCTTAAACCCATTTGAGACAGATGTATGGTTGTCCTTGCATCGCCTGTTGGCGGCAAGAGAGATGTTGCATAGTAATTTTATTTATTTATTTATTTATTTATTTATTTTATTTTATTTTATTTTATTTTATTTTATTTATATCCCACCATCTGATAAATCTATACCACTCTGCGCGGCCACTTTGAATGAAGAGTTAAGGTTAAACGATTCAATACATCCAAATTATGGTTTACACCTACAAGTGACTCCTGCTTTATTTGGAAAGGAGAAGGAGATTCTAGGCGAACCTTCACAGACAGTAAAACTGAAAACAAATATAATTTATTTTATTTTATTTATATCCCACCATCTGATAAATCTATACCACTCTGCGCGGCCACTTTGAATGAAGAGTTAAGGTTAAACGATTCAATACATCCAAATTATGGTTTACACCTACAAGTGACTCCTGCTTTATTTGGAAAGGAGAAGGAGATTCTAGGCGAACCTTCACAGACAGTAAAACTGAAAACAAATATAAGATTTTCCAAAAGAACTTCTGAAGTGTGGGTCTGGGGAACAGGTACAAAATGCAATATTAGGAACAGCATACATACTGCATAGATATTTGATGAATACTTGTTTTTTGTTAGAACTTGTATCTGTTATATAATGCCATTCAATGTTTTTATAATTTTAATTCACTGTGCCTGGTATTTTTGAACAAAAACAGCAACATAGCAAAGCAGCAACAATGAATAATTATGTGCTGTCAGCTCAATTCTGATTTATGGCAACCCCTTTTTAGAATGTTCTAGGTAGAGAATAAGCAGAAGTAGTTCACCATTGGGGGGGTAGCCTGAGACTGTGCAGTTTGCCTAAGGCCACACAGGCTGACTCTACTTGGCTGCACAGTGGGGAACTGAACTCCCAGCCTCTGACCCTGCAGCCAGATATCTAACTCACTGAGCAATCCAGCCATTAGGGGAAATTTATTAATGTCCAGAATAATTTTAGACTCTGTAGAAAGCATGGGGCAGTAGTGAATGCTTACCAAAACGATTGGTAGAGTAATGCTTTTGTGGTCTATCAGACGCATGAAATGTTATCTGTGCTTCTCCAAAAGAATGCATGTTATCTATAGTATATTATTTGTTTCTTTGAGCTCTGAAACATGTTTTGAAAGCAGCTGAAAATAAAATTGAAAATATTCTCATTATTGCAAATATATAAATAAAAGTGATGCCCATATTTAGACTCAAATGTTTCAATTTTCTCAAAATCAAGTAGGCCTGTCTCCACTTAAGAAGGTATATAAGGATATTGCAAATAAGAGTTTTTCTTGTGAAGGCAGCTTAAAGTGAATGCTGGGGGAAATAGGGGCAGACTAGAGGTTTGCAAAATTGATAACATTGTGGAGAGAATTGGAGCCAGGGTGAGGAGTGGGGAGAGGCCATTAAATTCCTGGAAGATAAATCTGTTGATAGTCACTAGCCATGCCAGTTAAAAATAGGAACTCAGAAATCATAGACAGTATAACTTGGCTTACCAAATACAAGAGTTAATCAAGGGTTTATTATGCTCTCAGTGGTTAGGTTGGAATATTTTTCCGGTGTTTCATAGCCAGATAATTAGGATAGCAAAAAGTTAGAGAAGTTTTAGAAGTCAGCCGCACACACACACACAAGGCTGTCTGCCAGCAGTGCTCCTGATGGGCAACTAGAAGAAAAAGACCTTTTTATGCCCCCAGGAGGACTCTCTCTTATTAACCTTATAAGCTCACAGATAGTTGACAGTATACAGATAGTTGACAGAGTTCAGATAGGACAATGGTTACATAATGCTATTAGCATTGGCCCAAAGAAAGGCTTTGAAGTTAGCTCCCTATCACTATGAGAAAGAGGATGAATGGTTTGTAGTTCCTCCTCTCAGAAGCAGTTATGACATCATCCGGGAATGTTTGCTCTACACTGAAGAATCAGCCAACAGTTTAGCAACTTTGGGGAGAAGCGTTCCCCCACAACATTTAATCCCATGTGTTTGGGATTTGCCAAAACAGTTCTATCTTGATGAATGAGTAGTACTTTTATCTGAAGTTGTGTTCACAATCTGGTTTTATAATGCCCAAACTTTGAGAAACACATAAGAACATAAGAGTCCTGCTGGATCAGGCCAAGGGCCCATTTAATCCAGCTTCCTGTATCTCACAGTGGCCCCACCAGATGCCTCTGGGAGCACATGAGAAAACTAGATACAATACCTGTCTCCTGATGCCCCTCCCCTGCATCTGACATTTTGAAGTACCTTCCTTTGAAGCCTGGGGATTAGACATCCCCACCATGGCTTGTGTAAACTGTGATGGAGTTTTCCTCCAGAAATATGTCCAGTCCCCTTTTAAAGGCATGTAGGCCAGATGTCATCACCACATCCTGTGGCAAGGAGTTTCACAGACATTTATTTTATATCCCGCCTATCTGGTCTTACGACCACTCTAGGTGTCTTCCAAATACATACATAAAACGACATATAAATATAACAGATAATTATTACATGATCTAACAGATTCTTCAAGATGGAAAAAAGAAAGTAAAAAATAAATAAAGAAGAAAAAAGCAAATATTAACTGGAGGGAAGGCCTGCGTGAACATCCATGTTTTTAATTGGTTTTTAAAGATACCCAGCGAAGGGGCTGCATGAATCTCCGGAGGAAGATTGTTCCAGAGGTGAGGAGCTACTGCCAAGAAGGCCTGGTTTCTTGTTTTTTCCTTCCGGGCCTCCCTCGGCGGCAAGCCCCTCAGCCTCACCTCCTGATTCGCTCAGGTGATATGGGTAGATATTGGTGGGAGTAGGCGTTCCACCAAATATTGAGGCCCTAAACCATTTACGGCTTTATAGGTAAGTATTAAGACATTGAAGTCAATGCGGAACCGAATGGGCAGCCAGTGCAATGTGGCCAGAATAGGAGAAATATGATGGTATTTTCTCACTCCACTAAGGAGTCTGGCTGCCGCATTCTGCACCACTTGGAGTTTCCGCATCAACCTCAAAGGCAGCTCCACATAGAGCGCATTACAGTGGTCTAATCTTGAGATTACGAGCACATGTAACAGGGTAGTGAGCACCCCCATATCGAGATAGGGTCGCAGCCGGGCTAACTGCCAAAGATGGAAAAAGGCGGTATGGACCATCGACGCCACCTGCGTTTCCATCTGAGCGCCGGGTCTAGATGGATCCCCAAGATGCGAACCCCACTCTTTGATGAATGAGTAGTACTTTTATTAAGCCATACATACATCTTTTATTAAGCCATACAACAGTTCTTATGTCTTCCCTGCTTTCTACTAAATCTTGTGTGTTAAAAGTGGCAAACTTTATTTATACTAGTGAACAGGTTTGTAGGCACTTTACCCTACAGTCTACAGGCCTGCTGCACCCAAAATCTTAGATCCAGTCTAAATTGTTTAGCCAGTAATTTGAAAAACTCTGTTTTGCTCACACAGTGGTCCATTGCACAGACAGCTAGACTCTTTCTGAGCTTATGCCAGGAAGTATGCATTACCTCCTTGTGCAAGCCTTATTTGCTTTAGCAAAGTGATTTCCATCTTGCACATTGGCAAGCTCAAGATCGCAGAGAAGAGTATTAATGCTCCGTGGTGTCAAATTGTACCTTCAGTGTTTCTTAAAAAAACTTCACCACCTCTCAGAACTAAATGTTTCAGAATACAAGCAACAGGTTGCGTAGAGATGAAGTAACTTCAGATCTTAATTAATCTCATAAATCTGTCCCTCTCTCCAAAAACTTGGTATTATCATTGGACAAAACTTAGAAAGGTTGGAGGTGAAATTACAGAGATTGGTGTGTAGTTGGTGTTCATGTGGAATGTATTGCAAATGGTTAACGCTGCCACTTACAACAGCACAAGAAAATATGATAAGGGGCTGCTGCAATCTGTAAATTGCCATGTGAACATAATTTTGTAAATATGTGTTTATTCTCATAGCTTGGCTGAAGAAGAAATAAAGGCAGAGCAGGAGGTGGTGGAAGGGATGGATATCTCCACTCGATCCAAAGGTGAGTGCCCTTATTAATTAACTACAATATCTGTGTCACTCAGGTCATAAGAGGCAATGTAGTGCCATTGTTTCAGCTTTTGCCTATGTGAAAATATGAAGTGTATTTCCTAGGATCTTTTAGCAGCTATTTGAGCTTACGCCTGCACTTCTGTGAGGACTATGGTGTAATTTTTCCACAAGTTCCTTTCTTTTGATTGCTGTTAATTTGGTTATACAATTTTATTAGGCCACTCTGTCTAAGAGAACAAGAAATATTAATAAAGTTTCCACACATCCTAAGACAGTTTTATCTTTGCTTCACATGTCTATTCTCATGAGCAGTATGTTGGGCAGGCCCGTTCCAACTCCATTTTCTATGATTCTGTGATGATGTTACTTCCTTCACTACCTCAAATCCTGCTCTTCTTCTCTTGTCTCCTCATCTAAAGTTCTGATCATATCCTGCTAGGCTGCATGGGAGGCTTGAGAAAGAAAGAATCATTGAGAAACTAACCTGCCCTAACAGTTGTAGCCTTCTCTTTGTGTCTAAAATGTCCTTCCATCTGAGACCCATGCCAAAATCATATTCCAATCTAGGTCTTCAGGCCAGATCTTTTATTGGTTTCTCATTGCAGATGCTTTGAAGATGATTTGTTCTTGCCCTTTCAAGTTCTGTAATGTCTCCCCCCATCCATATTTTTGCTCTCATATCACAAGAGATGATGTTCACTAGTCCTGTGTAGTAAATCACAACTATAGTAGGTGCATTTGAATCGGTGGAACTTACAGAGGAGTTACCTCATCAAATCTCCACTGATTCATGGCCCTGTTCAAATTGTGACATACTACACACTAAGCAATAGCATTTCAAGGTATATATTGTCCATTCATGATTCTTAGCTAGACCTTCCAGAACCTTTATTTAGTGTTGCATATCTGATGTAAAACCTGAGTTCTTTCATGAAGCCTTTCATTTGTAATCGAAACAAAGCCCAAGGGCCCTTTTCTGTTATTGCTCATGTGTAACCTTTGCCCTTCTGCCTTTCTCCATTCTGTCATCTTCCCCACCCCCACCCACCCCAATTCTAAATCTGGAATGTGAATTAATCAGAGAGGAACCTGTGTTTTGTAAGGTATTGTTAGTCTGTAAAGCACTAGTTACACTAATAGTTCTGTGGTGGTGGTTGGCAGGGGTGGTAATGATGGTGATAATGATGATAAATAATAAAAGACAGAAACTGAATGGTAAACTGAGTCTATTAATAGATTTTCTGTTCCTTTCTGGTAGAGGAGAAAAAGATCCATCTGGTATTCCTCTTAGTTCTCTGGTTAGCCCTGTCACTCTCTCCTTTATGGCCCCAGAGATCATAACTATATGACTGACACTGCAAAAAATAAACTGCTTGGTTTTTAATCCTTCAAAAGTTAGTGTTTTGTTCATCCTTTGCACAGGAAAGTAGAATTTTTTCATAATTTAAAAACTGAGCTTGCATCATAGAGAAGCTATTGTTTTAATTCAGTACTTTAAAAAATGAGAGAAGGGGCATCTAAAACCCCACTGTCTAAAAGATTAAAGTGTTCTTTACAACAGTTCTGAAAGTAGACTAGAATTAGCTTCTTTGTCAGATGGGTCCTGGGGCTCACTTGGAAACACACAATGGGTTTATAGCCAAGGGGATTTAAACTAGAAATGTTGTGGCTTACACTATTGGCCAGTATGTTGCACCATACAGCTTTTTGTTGGCAATGCACCCTGGTTAAAATGGAAATCTTCTGAGGTTTAAGTAGTTCCAAAACAACAAATTTTGAATGATGACTTTAACAGATTATAGTCAGAATAAGAAAGTAGAATGTGCAAAATATCTGTAAAATGTATTTCTTTTGAATTTCCATTTTCTGAGTTACTCATAATTTTTGTGCAAGAAAAGATAATGCTGAAGTGTTAGGAGGGGGTTGCTTACACTCTGCTACAAGCAGATTGTTTAGGTGGAATCCAAGGTCACAGATGATGGATTTGGATAAATGAGCAGTGGCACTACAAAGAGACTTGCCTCTCATTTCTGTTGTTTATTTAGGCCATTATTTTACATAATGAAAAAAAAAACATGAACCTTGTTCTGAAAACACATTAGAAACACAATGGATATGGCAAACAGGAAATTAACAGATAAGGTAAAAGAGACTGAAGAGGACTTACCAGGAATAAACTGTTCAGTACTTGCATGTTACCTTCTTGCTGTTCACAGTAAGAGAAGGTACAGTTGCCTATAATACGCTTCCTGGGATCTAGTTCATATCCTCTTGGATGCTCATATCTGATTGTCCATATTTTTGTTTTCAGAAGAACATTTGTGCTGAGACTAGTTTCCTGGACTGCTTTTTGCAGAATTAACTGGCCAAAAGTTGTGTGGATGGCCCATTCCTGATACTAAAATTTGAATTTTTGGGTGGGTTCTGAGACTGGACCTCCTTGCCAAAGGAAGCTAGGTTCACCAGCACCCTGAACTTCCTATGACATGTGAAAACCTTATTTCCTGAAGCCATCACAGTGGTCTGTCTGGTAGGGACAGGAGCTTTAAAGCGTGTGCTGGACTTTTCTGTTGTTAATTGAAACTACTATTTCTTAACATATATTTTAAACTGTTATTTAGCTGCATTCTGTTTTATTATGGTAACTGAATTAATTGTATTTTCATGTTTATTATATAAATATATATAAAAGTTATATTTCCTTTTAAATTATATTATAAGCTAGTGTGAATCTCAGTTTTGGGGGAGAATAATGAGAGAGATCAACTAAATAAATGACTAACTTTAATATGTTAATAAGTACATACATGCACTGAATATGCTATATAAGTGCTGCATTCTGTTACCAAGGGGCTTATAGTTCAGATTCACAAGATGTTAAGTAGAGGGGGAAATGCTGGATGGAGAGTAAGGGTGGCATGGTATGAGGAAAAGGGAAATGCTGCAATGCTTTGGGAAAAGTTTTGCTGAAGAAGCAAGTGTTATGGATAGTGGCAAGGGAAAAGGCATGATAAATAGAAAGGAAGAGACTAGTATATGTATAGAAGACTGTATGGGACATAAGGCTGAATAGACTGTTTTTCATCAGTGTTGGTTTAATGTATATTCAGTTATAGGTCTGTTCCATCTCATTTCTGCATTAATATTTGTTTCTAAATGCTCATTGGCCATGCTAACTGATGGGAATTACAGTCCCCAGAATCTAAAATATGTAAGATTGTGGGATGTAGACCTAAAGAATCCCTAATGGTGAATATAATAGACATGGTTTATGTAAAAGATGTGTAGATGTATAGTTAGATGAATGTATAAAGAGAGCAAGAGGAAAGAGAGAAAGAAATTCTTGAGAATGAATACTGAAAGAATTAATTTTAATAATGCTGTATCACATATCACTTACATTGATGCAGAACATTATGTGTCCTAACTTGCCACATATCTGATGGATGGAAATCACGAGAAAGTATAATTTGTGCAAAATCCCCAATACTTGTTAATAAGGTGGACCTGGGTCTCCTTCCCTGAATTTTTCATGTTATAACAAAGGAGAGGGCATTACTGTGGGAACCCTTGGAGTTTCTAAACTCTGCCATCAGAGTGCTGAATTGTGCTAGAAATAAGAGATCATAATTCCTTTTGCATCTGTTGTCAGCAGGTCAAAGGGGCATCTGTGTGCCTCTGTTCAGCAGGAGCAGAAATGGTGATCCTTCTGTTCCACTACAGCCTTCCTCTAAGAATGGTGGAAGCAAAAACAGACCTGTATGTGCTCATTTTTTTGCAACTACATTTTCATGTCTTGAACCCTGATTTACAATCTACAGGCCTGAAAACTGCACAGATTCAAAGATACAGCTTTCTCAGGAAAACAATCCAGGTGTGCTGTGAAAATCTGAGATCTGTTTGTCCATGGTATAGCACAGCTTCTCTCTCAGCTGTAGGTGTGATAACAATGCAGCAGGTTATCCATTCCCTACAGAGCCAGGAGAGAATCTTGGAGACACAGCTGAAATTTACTGCCCTTCCAGATTTTGCTGCGGGCATGAACTGTTCTATTCACTTGGAGTGTTTTCGATAATTTTTCCCCCTGTAAGCACACTTGACTATCTATGAAACTATTGTAGACACCATCCTAAAAGAACAAGTCCCACCTATAAGGCAGAGGTTAAGACCGATGCCCAAATGGGAACCATGTTTTGACTCTACGTAACACAACACAATATCCATTTCACAGAAGCAAGCCAAATAATTACTTCAACATTGCCGTAGCAAAATAATAATAATGTAAGTGCCTTTGTAAATCAAGTAAAGTGAGGAAAGTATAATACTGAATATGTGCCATTTGAACATTACATCAAAGATATGGAGACTAAAAGCAGGTCATAGTTGTGTTAACCCCATCATGCATTGAATAAACCTAGTTGTCTCGAAATTTCCCCTTGTTTCTCCTTAGATAGTCCTTGTGGTGTTGAGTTTGTTGCTCCTACTCTAGAATATGTGTCTGAAGTTAACATTTGGTTGGTTTAATGGTGCTTTAATGTTTTTATTGAGATTGTGACATGCCTGAAGTCTTTGCACTGAATGTGCTATGATGTAAATAATAAATATTTAATGGAACATAACTATGAGTCTGTAAAAATTTGCACATGTGTGCAAAATGTCTTCTTGTATTATTGAAATAGATTACATAATTTGGTTCATTCTGAAAGGGGAAGTGACTGTTACTAATCTAACTTCAGGCTGTGTTGGCAAACAATGCAGTTGGAGCTTAAAACAACAAAGAATCTTAAGGCTAACAAGTCTTATTTGGTATCAGCTTTCATGGTCATAGCCCACTTCCTGAAATGCAGGAAACACCATATTCAAACCACTGGTTCTACTTATAGGGATGGGACAGAATGAAGTGAGATTCAGAAAATAATAACACTATTATGAATGCTGGTTATAAAGTTTCAAAGGGCCCCTTAACAATAACGTCCTAGCAGTTACACAAGTCAATTACATTTTGAGGCATAGTAAGGCAGTAATATAGATAACCATGCATGGACAAGCTGATTAATTTATACTATAAGATGAACATCTCCTATCTTTGTTTATAAGATATCCAATGTGATCTCTCTTGTTTTATTCTTCTTAAGCAGTTTCTTTTTCTGAAGTCTTGTTTTGGAAGATCTTTTGTTCAAGGATAGATCGTCCTACCTCAGTTAGTCAGAAACAGGGTATCAAGGGGAACTGGCGTGTTTTGCTGATTTTCCAAATCAATATGACAGAAATGGCATACAGTATCTCATTCAAAGATTAGGAGGTGTATGGATGCCTGATGTTGTAGATCAGTGGTTTCCAACTTTAGGTAACCAGGTATTCTTGAACTACAATTTCCAGAAGCCTTCACCACTAGCTCCTCTGGCTGGGATTTCTGGGAGTTGCAGTCCAAGAGCACCTGGGTTACACAAGATTAAGAACCACAGTTGCATATTATAGTTTTACATTCTTTTATAGTTTCTGTGTAGATTTGGGGACAAAGAAACTTGTGTCTGGGTCTACAACAGGCTCTGCTTCCTGGGTCAGTGTCTTTGTTACAATATCTATTTTTGCTAGTGAATAGAGATGGGCATGAATTGCTGATTTGTTTAGTGGCTGAACAGGTTTTTGGTGTTTCAAAGCTCCACCTCCTCTGGCAGATGTCCACTCAGAGGCAGTGCCCAGAGGACACAGGGCAGGGGAGCCAAGCCTCTAGCTCTGAGTGAGTGCCCACTGGAGGAGAGGGGCTTTGAAGTGCTGAACATATATTTGGCCAACAAACAAACCAGCACAAACTACTGAACTGGTAGTTTGTGCCCATCTCTACTAGTGAGTAATCTTTTATGTTTGGGTGGCTGTTTGTATGGAATTATAGGCTTCCTACCCAGAGAGCCAAAGAGCTGTCATTGTCCAGAATGGACTACGCATCACTAATGGTGCATTTGAGTGGATTAATCTGGGAACTGTCGGTTATAATAAGTGGTATTTGTTGTTATCTAGTCTGAGTTAGTACAGTGGTGCCTCGCTTGACGAGGATAATCAGTTCCAACAAAATCACTGTAGAGCGAAATCCTCATTAAGCGAAATAAAAAAGCCCATTGAAATGCATTGAAAACAGTTCAGTGCGTTCCAATGGGCGAAATACCTGCTCGTCCAGCGAAGATCCTCCATAGGGCGGCCATTTTCAGGTGCCCGCGCAGTGAAAAATGCCTCCTAAAAACATTTTGAGCAGCCGGCGGCCATTTTGAAAACCTGACGATCAGCTGTTTTGATCATCGTAATGCGAAGAATCGGTTCCCGAAGCAGGGAACCGATCGTTAGGAAGCAAAAAAAGGCCATTAAAACATTGTTTTGCGATCGCAATTGCGACCACAAAAACATCGTCGTGAAGCGGATTCGTCAGCAAGAGGGGTAATCATTAAGCAGGGCACCACTGTACTTGTATGGCCCAGTTGATCTATATTTTCACTTGTTTGGGGATCCCAGTCTGAGAACTAACCTATATCTGAACAGATCTTGTTGTATCACATGGCTGAGACAATGAACTTTGTAGTGTTCTGGGTACATGTAAATATGACTAGTTGTCTATTGGTTTTTGGTATAAAGTTGTGCTTGCCTGTCCATTGTTTGCCTGCCCATTGCTCAGTGGTGTCTAGAAAGTGGACCAGTTCTGCAGAATGGTCTAGATGGAGGTTGATGTGGTTGGTGTCAATACACAAGGATCTGCAATAAGACTAGATTTTCCTTATGCTCAGAATTTACAGTGCTTCAGTTTCTTAGACTCTTAATCTATTCTGGAAATTCAAAAATGGCAGTGCAATCCCAAATGTCATTAGTGCGATACGAGAATTTTGTTTCTGCTTTAAATGTTTTGCTAGCAGTTCATACTTGGATGTAAGTGTGATTGAGACCACCTCTAATTATATACATTGTCATACTATGTAATGGTCTTGCAAGCTTTATTTATTACATTTCTATCCTGCCTTTCTCCCAGTAAGCTGGAATTGGCACCCATGGATCCCCCTCTCCCTACTTGGTTTTTACAATAGCCCTGTGAAGCAGGGCAGGCAGAGAAAAGGTGTCTGGCCCAAGGTCACTTACTGAGTTTCACTGTGTCTGTGTCACAGAGAAAATCGTAGTATATCTGTATTCCCATGTTTACTTACAAAATCAGTATGATGAATGAAAAGTAAAATGAACTTGATAAAATGTAAGTAAGCTGATTGCCTTGTATATTTTGCATATTTTGAAACAATTCCTAAGAGCTCTTTTAATACTGCATCAGCATTACAGAGCTATATAAATATTGCTTAGAAAATATACAGTGAAATAATAAATTTCTAAATACCTTCTCGATTTTTTTATACATTGGAGAACATGTAGAAATATACTTTCATACATATTTTAAGAAAGAAAGCCTTCTACTTTTGGTTGCTGGTTTTTCATGGGTTTGATTTGGGGAATCTTGGTTGTATTTTATGCATCACAGTAAGTTTTCTGGGACATATTTTGAGTTCTTGTCAAGTGAGTCATGAAAAAAAGTTCTAGAACAGAAAGTACACTTAGCTCTGGGCATTTTAGATGCTGTCCTGTGATGTCAACTACCTTTTTATGAAGAACCAGATTGGTTCTGAATCTTCTTTCTCCTTTTTATTAATAATGTCACCTGTCGGTTGCAGAAGATGGTAAGACTTTAAAAAATGTGTTTCTTCAATTGCACTAAAAAAAAAAGGGAAGCTATCCCATGCCCTCTAGTGGATTATTTTTGCAGAGGTATATGTTTTGTAGCAAAAGGACAGTGGGAATTATTTTTTTGTCCAAGACAGCAGAACAAGGCTGCTGTGAACCTCTTACATTTGCTTCATGTTGTAGAAACACTCCAGCAGATAATACCATGACATTTTAAAACAGTACATAAGCAAATTCCTCTGGGAAAAGATTCTAGATAAAGCTTGAAAAGCTCCATATGAATGTTGTAAGAATTCTACTTAGAAGTTAATTTCTCTCTCCTTATTCACCACTGTTTTTGATCAGATGCTTGGTTAGTTCATCTGAATTGAATATCCCTGTGGCAAGTGAGTCACATGAGCATGGTCAACAAGAGCAGAAGCCATTGTCAAGCAGTCAAATTATGAACACATTATTTATTGATTCTTTTTGTGCATACAGTAAAATTAAGCACACGTGTCTATCATGTTTGGTGTTGAAGATATAAGTGCTTTTCCTTATAAATCAGTGTTATAACTGAAATGATTATGTAGGGATGAATTTTTAGAAGTGTAGACCAGCTACTTGTCTGGCTATATTTAGGGCTGCTGAGTACTCTCACCGTCTCACAAGTTTTGCATTCCACACTGGTTTAATAATTGGCACATTTTTTCCTGGACATTCAAATATTATGCAATCTTAACATTCATTTCAGTGCCAGACATACTTTGTTTTGGAATTACGACCCTTGCTAGACTACTTCCTCGTCATGCTTTATAAGCAATATAGGGTCATTTCATCTTGCTCAGTACTTAAATTAAGCTGTTGGTTTTTCACTATTGTAACCAGCAGAGATAAGATAAGTGACCAAAAATATTGTTATATGAGGAACAGTCTAAAACTTCCTCTGTAATATATGTCTGCTTCCCTTTCATATTTTCTTGGCCTATCTGATTCTTGTGGCTTGATAGTGACAGTTAAGTAGACAATAAAAAACAGAGTGAGATGCTGAGTTTCAAACTTGTTTGAATACAGGATGATACTTTCTGTAGGGTAGAGGAAACATATAATTTTTGTAATAATAAAAATATTATTATTGAGTGTCAACAAAATGTGTTATCTGTCTTTATTGAATTGTATCTGTATCATTAGAATTCATTTATTGAAATACTAAAAACTTACTGAACATTAGTAGAATGGTATAGATTCTTAAAGCTGACACAACTTTTTGTTGTTTTTTTAAGATCCTGGCTCTGCTGAACGTACAGCACAAAAAAGGAAGTTTCCAAGCCCTCCACATTCTTCCAATGGTCATTCCCCAGAAGACTCATCAACAAGTCCTATTAAAAAGAAAAAGAAACCTGGCTTATTGAATAGTAATAATAAGGAGCAGGTAACAGAAGTCGTGGATCTGATACAGTGTTATTCATGAAACCAATGGTGATAATTAGGTTCTTTGCTCTTTCTTGGATTCAATATCCCTGCTTGTGGCAATGATTCTCTCTTGGATCTAAAAGTTGCTGGATATGTTTATTAAACCTTTAGGGCTCTGTAGGTTGGACTGTGAAACTCAGAAGTGATGTCTGTAAGGGAGTTCTGCTTTTTTTGAATAAGTAAACAGAACTTTGTTCAAAGAGACATTTAATGTCAAGGCACATGTAGCGTTCCTTACATTTAACAGATTCCCCTTTCATTGAACTTGAACAAAGAGAGAGAGAGAGAGCACCCAGAAGCTTGAAAAGAGAACATAAAGGTCATAGTTGTCTCTCATCTAGTTTCCAAGCAACTGGTATGCAAAGACATAGAGCAGTGGTTCCCAAACTTGGGTAATGAAAGTGTTCTTGGACTGCAATTCTCAGAAGCCTTCACCAGCAGCTGTGCTGTGCTGGCCAGGGTTTCTGGGTAGTAGTGCTGGCCAGGGTTTCTGGCTGTAGTCCAAGAACACTTGGGTTACCCAAGGTTGCAGATCACTGGTACAGAGGATATCCCCTTATGAAACAGGACTGATATTGCTCTGTTTGCCCTCACACCCATTTTACTGTTGCTGTATTTATATTTTTTCACTGTACATGGTGAGAGTCTTATTACACTTGACATCATGCCACTCCTGAAGGCATTCTTCCTGGACGTGATGCTGATAGGTTGATTAGGTCTTTCTTAGGAAGCGACTGGGAAGTTGTGGAACAATATGTCCCTGTAAAGCTTTGTTCACCTTGGGTTGCCAGAAGATGTTATCTAAATATTATTTTTCTTGATCAGGGTCCATAATGGCAAGGCATTTCTGTAGTCAGTGATTCTTAACCTTTGTTACTCAGATGTTTTTGAACTGCAACTCCCAGAAACCCCAGCCAGCACAGTTGGTGGTGAAGGTTTCTGGGAGTTGCAGTCCAAAACTCCTGAGTAACCCAGGGTTAAGAACCAGTGTTCTACACCACTACTCTAATTTTTATTACTAAATTGGGTGTATCTAATGAATGAACTAGATTTAGTGGAACTAGATTTGGTGGACAGAGTACCTGAAGAACTATGGATGGAGGTTTGTAACATTGTACAGGAGGCAACAAGAAAAACTATCCCAAAGAAAAGGAAATGCAAGAAAGCAAAGCCACTGTCCAACAAGGCCTTACAAATAGTAGAGAAGGGAAACAAAATGAAAGGGAGATAGGGAAAGATACAGAAAATTGAATGCAGACTTCCAAAGAATAGAAAAGAGAGACAAGAGGGCCTTCTTAAATGAACAGTGCAAAGAAATAGAGGAAAATAATAGGAAGGGAGAAACCAGAGATCTGTTCAAGAAAATTGGAGATGTTAAAGGAACCTTTTGTGCAAAGATGGACATGATAAAGGACACAAATGGTAGGGACCTAGCAGAAGCAGAAGGTATCAAGAAGAGGTGGCAAGAATACACAATTATATCAGAAAGATCTGGATGTCCCGGACAACCCAGATAGTGTGGTTGCTGACCTTGAGCCAGACATCCTGGAGAGTGAAGTCAAATGGGCCTTAGAATGCCTGGCTAACAACAAGGCCAGTAGAGGTGATGGCATTCCAGCTCAATTGTTTAAAATAAAGATGACGCTGTTAAGGTGCTACACTCAATATGCCAGCAAGTTTGGAAAACTCAGCAGTGGCCAGAGGATTGGAAAAGATCAGTGTACATCCCAATCCCAAAGGACAGTGCCAAAGAATGCTCCAAGTACCGTAGAATTGCACTCATTTCACACGCTGGCAAGGTTATTTTCAAAATTCTTCAAGGTAGGCTTTAGCAGTATGTGGACAGAGAACTCCCAGAAGTACGAGCTGGATTTCAAAAGGGCAGAGGAATTAGAGACCAAATTGCTAACATGCGCTGGATTATGGAGAAAGCCAGAGAGTTCCAGAAAAATATCTATTTCTGCTTCATTGACTACACAAAAGCTTTTGAGTGTGCTGACTGCAGCAAACTATGGCAAGTTCTTAAAGAAATGGGAGTGCCTGACCACCTTATCTGTCTCCTGAGAAACCTATATGTGGGACAGGAAGCAACAGTTAGAACTGGATGTGGAACAACTGATTGGTTCAAAATTGGGAAAGGAGTATGAAAAGGCTGTATATTATCCCCCTGCTTATTTAACTTATATGCAGAATACATCATGCTAAAGGCTGGACTGGAGGAAGCCCAAACCGGAATTAAGATTGCCGGAATAAATATCAACAACGTCCGATATGCAGACGATATCACTCTGATGGCAGAAAGTGAGGAGGAATTAAAGAACCTCTTAATGAGGGTGAAAGAGGAGAGCGCAAAAAATGGTCTGAAGCTCAACATCAAAACTAAGATCATGGCCACTGATCCCATCACCTCCTAGCAAATAGAAGGGGAAGATATGGAGGCATTGACAGATTTTACTTTCCTGTGCTCCATGATCACTGCAGATGGTGACAGCAACCACGAAATTAAAAGACTTCTGCTTCTTGGGAGGAAAGTGATGACAAACCTAGACGACATCTTAAAAAGCAGAGACACCACCTTGCCGACAAAGGTCCGCATCGTCAAATCTATGGTTTTTTCAGTAGCGATGTATGAAAGTGAGAGCTAGACCATAAAAAGGCTGACAACCAAAGAATTGGTGTTTTTGAATAGTGATGCTGAAGGAGACTCTTGAGAGTCCCCTGGACTGCAAGGAGATCAAATATATCAATCAACCCTGAGTGCTCACCGGAAGGACAGATCCCTAAGCTGAGGCTCCAATACTTTGGCCATCTCATGAGAAGAGAAGACTCCCTGGAAAAGACCCTGATGTTGGGAAAGTGTGAAGGCAAGAGGAGAAGGGGACGTCAGAGGACGAGATGGTTGGACAGTTGAAACTACCAAGATGAATTTGACGAAAATCCAGGAGGCAGTGGAAGACAGGAGAGCCTGGCATGCTTTGGTCCATGGGGTTAGGAAGAGTCAGATACGACTTAATGACTAAACAACAACAAATGCATGTCACCAGTTATGTAAGGAGTAGGTTTAGCAAGAGGCTTCTAATGGTTTTGGAATCTGGTAGTTAGCTAGGAAAATAATAATGAAATGAGGAAGAATTTGCACATTACCATAACATAAATTTGTAATTGTTGACCAGAATCTGGGTGATAGCATACTGTCTGAATTAAAAATTGTGCAAGCAGTTTCCACAATCTTGTTGGCTGTACTCATGGCCAGATGTGTACCTAGGCACATGACAGATGGCTCTCAATCTGAAAAGCACTTTTGCATTTGCCATTATGTGTATATGGTATATCTTCAGTGAATAGAAATGGTGGAGCTTTTTTGTTTATAGGACCTAGATTAATTTTCAAAACCAGATCTAATTAAGCAACAGTTCTTTTAGTGTTCACAGAATATCTACCATAAATTTTATCATTAAAGAACCTCTTAATGAGGGTTGATCATTGAACAGTTTTGTATTAGCTGCTCAACCAAACAAAAACTGTTTTCTTTTGTGGAGAGGGACAGATATCTTATGGTTTAATTTGCCAATTTTCTCTATACATATCTCCCAATCTGTCTTTCTACACATATTTGAGTGGTATTTATTACCCTTCAGTGTTCATATAATCTTAGCTGCCAGTTGAAAATGTTGAGGGCCTTATTGCAGTGCTGCCGACATTTTCCATTTGGAAATTATTTCCAGTGAATATTTATTACTGGTTTATTTCAGAGCATTTCTATAGTTCTTTCTGCTCTAGAAGTTTCAGAGGCTTGCAATAAAAAGAAATACAATAAATGCAAATAGATGAAAAGAATGAAATAATACCACAATATTTTACTTCATATGTGATTGCTGCCTTTAGATGACCACATGCAATGAACTTCATTTGGATCTTGTGTTCATAATAAATTTGAGGTTGAAGCCACAACCGTTGAAGATGCTCTTTTGTAATATAGCTATAAATGGGCCTTGTTTATTTCTAGCTAGACTTACTGCTGGCAAAATAAAAGTGATTAGACATACCTTGGAAAGTATCACTTCCTTAGCAAAATCCTTAAGCCTAGATTTTTACTTCTGATTTTTGAAGTTTTCAGAGGTTTTATTTTCCATTCACTGTTCTAACCACTTGCCTGTCATCTTCAATCAACCAGAGAGCACTTTAAAAAAAAGCAGATGTGAGGTTATTCTAAAATATTACAACCACATTTGTGATATCAATGTTCCAATTTTTATTATCCTTATGACTTCCCAAAAGGGACTCTTGAAAGACATTAGGTGCTGTAGATTTTTTTTTTTTTTTTTTTTTTTTGGTGGCAGAGAGGGACATTTACTGCTGGATGTCTCCCCATTTTCTCTGTGGAAACTGCACTGCCATCACTGGGCCATTTTCCACTCTCCACAGTGGGTCAAAAATAAATTCCAGGGTTGTAATAGGGACTCACTCCCCTAATTCCCCACCCATGTCACCTGTAAAGGTCGGAAGGTCCACCAACTATTTCTGGCACATTTCTCATTAATTTAAATGGGAAGGACATTATGCTACCCATGCCTTGTCCAGCATGGAGCAGGAGGGCTTAGGCTGTGAGCCCATGACTTCTGCTTCACCATGCATCCAACTGCCATGTAAGAATTATTCTGCCTGTGATTATGACATGCATAAGAACATAGTTCCTCTGATGTTCCTCATCACTGTCTTCTTTCATATGGGTAAATACTGATTGTTGATTGCATATGGTTTGGCATACTTTTTTGTAAGTATTATTGCTGCTTATGCAACAATAGCAGTAAGCATATTTTGATCCTTATAACAGTCAAGCAAAATTTATTACAGGAGCACTCTCCACAATAGCTACAGCTATTTTGTTTGTTTATTAAGTTTCCCATCTTTCCATGAATTGTCCACAAAGCAGTTTCAAATAAATGTGAAAAACCCACC